GGAACGCTGCTATCATGTCTCCCCTGTTTCTTCTTTTCTTTAGACTAGCCAAACCCAACTCCCGCAGCTTAACTAAAACAGAATCTGGATAGGAAGGATCAAAAGTCACGAATAGTGGAGATCTAGGGACCCCAGACTTGGTTTTTCTGAGTAGAAGAATCATGTTCTGGGGACCATTAACATCCACACTTCCATAGCCACGTGTCCGAGGTTGTGCACGTGTGTCAAAAAAGTCAGGATGGAGGCTACAGCCGCCTGGCTGAAGCTCCCGGATTGGGCTTCGAAGGCATGGACGCCATCTTGCCTTTCTTGACCACCCTTCTTGAACCATTCTTGTTGCGTAATACTGGCAATAACAGAAATCAAGTTAATGCCGTGACATAAGTTTTGCATTTAACGGACATTCAGAAATAACAGACCTGCCCTTCCGCCTACTTCGGGAGCTTCAGAACAGGAAGATTAAAAGTGAAAGTGAAAGTAGAGGGAAGGAAAGGAAAGAGAAGGAATGAGATGAGAAAGGGAAGGGAAAGGAAAGGAAAGGAAAGGGAAGGGAAGGGAAGGGAAGGGAAGGGAAGGGAAGGAAAGGGAAGAGAAGGAAAGACAGGAAAGGAAAGGAAAGGATAGGGAAGGGAATGGAAGGAAAGGAAAGAGAAGAGAAGGAAGGAAACAAGAAAGGAAAGGGAAAGGGAAGGAAAAGAAGGGAATGGAAAGGAAAGAGATGGGAGAGGAAAGAGACGGGAAAGGAAACGAAAGGAAAGAGATGGGAGAGGAAAGAGACGGGAAAGGAAAGGAAAGGAAAGGAAAGGAAAGGAAGGAGACGAGAAAGGAAAGGAAAGGAAATGGAGAGAAAGGGAAGAAAAGGAAAGGAAATGGAGAGAAAAGGAAGAGAAGGGGAAGGAGAGGAGAATGGAAAGGGAAGGGAAAGAAAGAAGGAATAAAATTCATTACAGTGAAATCTCTATTTAACAGACCCTCCTATAGGACTTTAAGTGTGTCAGACTGTCTGTCTCAACATCTGCCTGGAATAACAGACAAGTCCATTAAAACTGAAATAATCCAGACAAGAAATTATCCTTACATTAATTTTGCTTTAATTTCACAGCATCCATGGTAGCTCATATTATTTGCACGGTAATGTCAATGCACATGTGAAGTTAACAGCTTGACATCCTTTTGCACTTAATGGACATTATGGACAGGCCCTTCCCATACTTGGTAAGACCACATTTGGAATCCTGCGTCCAGTTGTAGTCACTACAATACGAGAAAAGATGTTGAGACTCTAGAAAGGCTGCAGAGAAGAGCCACAAAGATGATTTGGGGGCTGGAGGATAAAACATGCAATGAGGTTTGTGAGAATTGTGTATTGTCTAGTGAAAATTAGGGCTAGGGGTGACAGGATAGCAGTGTTCCAATATCTCAGGGGCTGCCCCAAAGAAGAGGGAGTCAAGCTATTCTCCAAAGCGCCCGAAGGCAGGACAAGAAGCAACGGATGGAAACTCATCAAGGAGAGAAGCAACCTGGAACTAAGGAGGAATTTCCTGAACAATTCATCAGCGGAAAAGCTGGCTTCCAGAAATTGTGGGTGAAAAGATTGGACGTCCGTTTGCCTGGGACGATGTAAGGTCTGCTGCTTGAGCAGAGGGCTGGACTAGAAGACCTCCGAGGTCCCTTCCAACTCTGCTATTCTATTATTCTGTAAAGTTGTTGCTGGAAGTTGTGCAGCACAAGCCGTGATCACATAGCATTCTTCATGACATCGCCACGACACTGTTACAATGTACAGATTGTACCAGATGTCCATGCCTCATCGTCACCAGCAGATGTGCAGCAGATGTGGTTCCCACCCTCCTGGAATACCAGCTGAATTGTCTTGTAACTAGAATAACAGAGTTGGAAGGATCCTTGGAGGTCTTCTAGTCCAGCC